AAAAAGACATTATTCTAGGGGGCTTTATTAATCACAGGTCAACATTACTGTGTTTGTGGCATCGCCCAAGAAAAGTGGATTGGTATGAATCTCAAAAAATCCCAGCTGGATCAAGCTGGTGGGTCTAAGACATGTGGAGTGTGTGGCTTGGGGTCTTCTATAGCTCTACCTATGTCTACCTGATTCTGGGACACACACAAACCAACACCAATGGCGCACACAAACCATTCCTTTGACCGGTCCAAAGGACCCATGCCCTCGATGACCGTCTGGTTGGACTCTTCGTCGCGGCTGTAGCGGAAGGAGGGGTCCTGCGGAGGCACACCCAGGACCCGCCCTGGTGGAACGGAGCCATGCCACTCCGGAATGTCTGTGCTGAATATCAAGAAGCATGAAGGGTTGACCTTTGACAGTGAACATGTTTGTATAGTGTTTGGATGGTCCAGAGTCCTAACCCCTTATGCAAGGTCACGATTCACAATCCTCCAAGCAGGTTCAACGCCTCTGTAGCATCACACCGTTCTAAACATTGTCTTTTGGAACCCCTCCGCCTCCACCTTTCTCCCTTACTTCAATTCATCTATATTCTATCGTGAATGGATGGACAATGATGGATAATATGAGACACCAGGACCCACGATACCGCGCTCAGAGAGCGCTGTTCGTCCATCGCCCTCCGCCCTGTCCTCGGCCGCCAACTTGTTAAGAGCCTCACCCAACCTCAGAAACGGTTCCAAACTCAAACGAAGCCTGCAGACTCGTTCCCCCCGGGGCGACCACGCGCTGGGCGCGTGGGAGAAGCAAGCATCAGGAGTCAAAGGAGACCAAAACAGCCAAGGGAGTGTGGATCGAGATCTTGGAAGTTTTTAGACTTAATGTCCCAGAATGCATGCAGTTGTTGTCTGAACAAATTGAACCAATTCACCAGCCACCCTTGTCAAGACCATATAAATAGACATAAAGGCTCCAAAATAGGCTTCTAGCCCAGTCTCGAGACTCCCTCTAGTTGGGAGACCATCATGATTTTGCACCAAATGCTCTCATGTTCATCCCTGCCCACCACACCCCGATGGAAACCAGCAGAAAGTCTGCTAAATGCATGACAGCGGCTTGTCAGCGTCCTTCTGACTGGTGGGTTCGCAAGAGACCTGGAAGAGACAGGAGAGTCGAGAGTCGTTTCCACTGGTGGAAGCTGCGGACGCCGAAACACAACCTCCGGAAATATTCCAAAGAAACACCCACAGGGAGAAAACAACGACAATGATCAACAAAACCCATCCTCTGAAGTTTGTTGTTTATTAAGGAATATTAAGGATATCTATGATCCTTAGATCATTCATTTAGAGTTACTTTGATGTCTTAACCTCTTGGAGCAACACTCCAGTTTGCCCACCCCACCGAACGGTCATTCGAAACCGACCGGTCGTCCCTCCGTGGGGGTCGGCCTTGATGACCGGCTCAGGGAAGTCCATCTTCTCCAGCACCACGGGCTCGTCAACGGAGCACAAGGTGTCACCGGTGGTGGTGTCCTCACTGGAGGTATGTTGGTGAGTCTAAGGAGCTTACCGAATACATCCTAATACCGCCGTAATACATCCTAATACCTTCAAACCGGTCAAGAAGAGATAGTTACTCTGTTGACTGGGTTGCTGTTGTCATCCTGTACACATCGTTCCTTTTCCCTGATGCTTTGTATTTGATAGGCTCTTGTTTGCTAGGTTTCTTGGACCTTTCAAGTAGCATCAGAAGCCAGGCTGACCCCCGAGAAAATGCGTCCCAAAGGAAGCCGGGAGCTCCTTCAGGCCAACGATGGCAATGATGTCACCCGCCTGAGCCTCCTTGATCTCCTGGAGCATCGCGGCTGATTCCTTTTTAGTGAAAGACGCGGTGCTGGAGATACAACTGCGATCTCCAAGAGCCTGGAAAGCCCGAACAGCTTGTTCTAAAGCCGAACAGCTTTAGTAAGAGCCGGTCGGACGTGAGCCGCCCGGCTCTTCGGAAGGAACACGATCCCAAAAGAACGCAGGTGAGCTGCGTTCAAGGAACCAGTCAGTCGATCGAAGCGCATCGGACCATGTTCATCCTTTTGCTGCTTGGGCCTGGACGTATCGATCCAGAAGCCAATCCGGTTGAGTTTCAGTGGCTGAATGGGCTGCTCTGCGTTCTCCTTGCTGTGGCTTTTATAGTCATCTTCTTAGGGGGGTCCACTGAGTCTTGTTCCCCACTTTTTTCAGTGTCAAGCCAACACTGGGCAGCTGCGATGTCTGCATGCCACAAGGGCAGCTTTCACTCTTCTGGGTCGCAGCTGCCTGCCTGCCTGAATCTGCATGTAAGGAACGTCTTCTCTCGGGACCCTGCATTGTAAGTGAGTGCCTCCGACACTACACTTGCAGCTCCTTTTTTTTCACCCCAAAGAGGGATCAACTCAGAACCGGGCAGAAACTACAACAGGCTGAAGCCAAAAGCTGGGAAAGAAGTGTGTCATGTCCTTCCCGCCTCGGCTTTGGCCAAGAGTAGTTCGACCCCTTGGAGTTTGATTCGACCGGAGTCCGGAGCGGCCACGGCTGCCGTGTCCTCAGGTCGTTCCGAAAGTGCGAGCGGGGCCATCAGTGCGGTGCAAGAAGGAACCCAGCAAGATAGAGCTGAACTCTTACCAGGCTCTTCTTGGAAAACATCTGTGTTGTGCTTGTCCAGCACTGAGTTGCACAATGTTGCGCATATTTCTTGTCGGTTGAAAATCTTCAAGACATTCGGGCAATTTGGCTGGCCAAATGCTGCACTGAATAAAACATGCAACGATCGCATTCTGTGCAGCACTTGTCCAGCCAATCCGCTGTCTGCTGATTGTGCAAAACTGCCAGCAAAGGCAGCTGCGCCCATATCTCACACAAGAACGGCCGCAGCAACCGAAGATTTACGCCTCAGCCTCAACCTTCTTCACCACTTGAGTGGGTGCAGCCTTAATGCGTTTCAAGCCTTCTGACTCGTTTTGGGTTGGTCTTCCTCCCCCACTCGTCGCATTCATCACCGTCCACACACGAAAAGAAACACCGCCTTGCGCGGCGCCTTCGCCTGTGAAGCCGCGGGCGGATGCGGGCGGCTCAGTCATGTGGCCCCCGGCTGGCCTGACACAAACACCTCAGTCGACACGCCTGGCGTGGCATGGAAGAACAGTGAAAACTGGGTGAGCTGCTGGCACCAGAGCTGGGGCTCACAGACGATCATCGTCTGATGACATGGAAGATTTCTATACCAGGACACCCTGAGGGGTGTCTATTGATAGCCCCTTAGAGGTTAAGGGGTGTCCATTAGCCACCATGGGTCCTGGTATAGATTGAACATCAGCCCCCTCTGGGATTCGGACTCATCGGGGACGCTTCACAAAGTATGAAGCTCTCAACAAGTCCCACACTGAGGACGTGTGTGCCAGCGTCAGAACACGCACAGGGACAGGCCCACTTCTAGTGGTGGAGCCTTCATAGATTCGATGTTCCATTTCATGCAGCCCTAGATCACTCTCGTATTCTCATGTATTCTCCCTTGTACAGTACTCCTCTGAGTAGTTTATCTTGCCATACCTGCCATGCCTTCCCAAACTCTACCGCTTCGCGGCTCGTCTACTCGGCTCGCCTCTCGGGGCTTGAGACCAGCTCCAGCTCTCTCTCTGTCCGTCATCCGTCGGTCCCGTCCGGACCCGGCTCTCCTCGCGCTTGTTGGAGTGCATCAAGACCATTCGGCCCAAACGCTCCTTGGTCTTGCTCCTGCCGAGGCATAGCAAAGCCTCTGAAGGCTTTGTCTCGATCAAACGGTGAAGCTCCACCAACCGATGAGTGGAAGTGATGGGGGAAACAACATGTTCTAAAGTCGATCTAGGGCGGCACACGACAACAAGGGAGCCCACTGCAGTCGTCACGTCATGGGCTTGACAGTGGGGAGGAGTCTTGATACTGGCCGCGCGCGTCTATGTGACAAAGTGGTCTGGCGACTTTGGTTCCAACGGCAATGGAACCTAATAGGAAGGAAGGCCTAACGCCGCGTTTATAATTGGGATTGGTTTCGATTGTGCCTGGCTGTTGCTTCGTTCAGAAAAGCTCAAACAGCACCCATGAGACAACCCCCTTTTGCACTTAGTACAGGAAGTCCATCATATTCCATCATCTTCCAAGCACCCTGGAAGAAGTTCTTCAAAAAAACACAGCCATAGAATTCATCCATCAGTCCATAAGGTCTTCTAAGATCTCCGTCCATGACGACCAATCCCCAAACCAGCCGCTCGGCCACAGCAACGACGTCGACATGGGCGGGTCCTGGGGTTCCAAACCATTTCACCTGCCTTCACCTGGAGCCATTTCGGAGGGCCCCAGCGCGCCCATGTCAGAACCGCCAGAGGATTCAGAGAGGTGAATCGTTCAAAAGACGGCTCAATTGAAAGGGGGTTCTGAGGCTCCCAAATCCTAAGCTGAAACAGATTCTGGGGCGGGATCGGTATCACCTTGACAGGCTGCTTCTTCGCAAGAAAGTAAAGAAGGTGTCATGCTGAAGCATACTAATCAAAGTGACAGGTTTTGAAGTAATTAGTTTGCCGAATCATATTGTCACCAAGATGGTCGGGCCCAACCACCTAGCCTATTTTAGCTCCAATCTTCCAGTCTGTCACCCTGACCAAGTCATCCCTCAGTCAACCCTGGCCATGGTCTTTTACCTGCTATAAGTCTGAGCACGACCCCCCGTCGAGCGCCGGCCAGCGCCAAACCGATCGTCCACACGGGTCGCTGATGTCGAGGAGTGCCATATGCCGTTGCGACTAGAGCGACGGCCTCCAACCGACTAGAGCGAGGGCCTAACGGTACTGCTTGGTCCACGGCCCAGGTGTCCAAAAAGCAAGCACGTTCCCATCTCTCTGTGAGTGCCTTGCCGGAGTAGAGCCGGTAGAAGGTCAGTGTGCCTTGGCGTTCGTGGCGTTGCCCGGTGTGGTTTTGGGGCGTTTGGCGTTGGGAGCCGAAGAGTGGGTGGCTTACCTTCTCAGGTTCGGTACGACTGGACTCTCCTGGCACCTACATCACCGTGCCGAAGGTACGTACTTTGGATCCCTAGCCAAGGGCTTGTTGGTGTTGAGTGGGGGAACTTCCGGCCAAACACACGACTGACCATCCACAAACAACTCTTCTTGACTCTTGACGCATCGTAGGAGAACATCACACATCCAAGCAGGAGGAAGGCAAAGGGAAATCGCAGTCGGATGCCTGAGGAGTATCTGAACAGTCCATCGTGCATCTGAACAACTGCAAGAACCTCTTCCACCGGCCACAGGAACCCACCAGAACCCGCATCTGTAGCCTACGACTCTCCCAAAAACGTGTTTCTCTTTTCTCCCCCACCGGACTCGGCGCGGCCCGTCCGGCGCGGTCCGTCCGCAGCCAACGACCGAGTGGCCGATGTAGGGGTCTGCCGCCACCTTGAAGGCCAAACCTGAAAGCTTCTCATCTGGCGAGGCCTGGAGTGAAAGAAGAAAGAGTTCGGTGCGGGTGTTTCACCGCAGAGTTCGGTGGAGATGAGGAGACCTGGTCGGTGCCACCGCTGGCGGGGCGAATCATGTGCTTCTGCTGTTGGCAGAAGCAGTGAGAAGCATCATGGCTCCTTCTGGGTTCAGCGTGTGTGTAGTTGGAAGATCGTGGAAACGTTTGTGGACCGCCAAACCCATCCGAAGCTGAGGTACTTGGACTCTGCATGGTGTAAAGATGGAGGAACAAACATATATGTGGGTGAGTCTATATATACTTGATTTATAGAGCTATCTTACATATATAGAGATTTTAAACTAATTACATGATATATACAATGCTCTTTTTCCCTGTCCATGCCCCACCTTCAAGTCAACACTCCCAAACACCAAAAATCATCACTTCTCCCCCCAAACAACAAACATCCGAGACTCCCCCAAACAGCCCTCTTCCGTGGGGTGTTGGATGGTGTTGGTGTCGGCCTGACGCTCGATGATTTCCTCTTCGTTCTTGGGGTTCTTGCCCTGGGTGGGCGGCAGGTCCAAGGGAGATGGCAAGTAGTCGCCTCAGAAAAGCGACCCCCAAAACAAAGAACGCGCTCATCAAGCGGAGCGTGCGCGCAGGGTGATGTGTGAACATGGCAGCCTTGAATCCTCTTGAGGTGGTTCCAAGGAAGTATAGGGCCTAGGGCCTTCAGTAGGTGATAAAAGACGATAGTCACAGCTCGATCCTGGAGCACTCCTAGCCATGGTCTTGACACCAAAGCCTCTCAGGGCTGGCCACCAAGCCGAGGCCGAGGCCGTGCCGTTGTCCTCCAAGGCACAAACAGCATCCAACAAAGGCTGGACGCCCTTGTTCTTGAAGGCGGTGCCGCACAGCACCTGAAAAAAACGTCACGCTGGGGGAAGAGATGCATCCCGAGTTCACTCGGAGTCCCATGCTCTTTGCCTCTTTGGAACTCCTGGCATCTCCTTACCGCTGCCGGGCCCCCAAGGGTTGCCAAAACCGCTGCCCGCCAGCCAACACCAGAACATATCATCGCAGCTTCTGAAGCAAAGGCGTCTTCCGGCTGGGTCTGACCCAGCCGTAGCGTAGAACTGGATCTTCATGTCTGGACCCCCGACATGAAGGTCTAAGATAAAACATACTGTAGCTTTTGTGCGTTTCAACCCTTGAAGTTTTGAATGTCTTGGGGGTGCCCCATCGCCAATCCGCCCCTTTTGGCTGGTCAGCCAGCGACCATCTGTTCCAGCCCAAGTGGCTGGCACAAAGCTGAAGTTCAAAGTACCTTTGCGGATGCACTTTTTCAATGTGGCCACATCTGGAACATCCCCCGTCTCCAGGTACGCTTCGAGCACTTCCTCGGAGAGTGCACGGGTGCAAGGGTTGCACGGTAACCATCACCTTTCGTCTGGCTTGGAAGATCCAACTAAAGTCCGAGACCTTTCCCCTGGAAGATAAAGGTTACTCCCCCTGGAACTAACATGGAAGTGGAAAACCACCTGTTGGCAGTGGAAAATGGTCTTCCAAGGGGCCATGCCATCCACTTCCATGTTAGTTCCAGGGAGTGTAACCATTTTTTGGTCCACCGGTTGGATTTAAGTGGGGTGTCCCCAATCCCTCAAGGTCATGGTATCCGAGGTTATCCAGAGCTTTTCTGCCGCGGGAGCGGTCTCCTTGAGACAATGGCCACGCGTCCGTGAATGGGGGTGCGAAGGAATGAAACTGGCCACTTCATCAAATTGGAACCACTTCACAGCCTTGGATGATACGAGTAGCACAACTATCGACCTAGCACGGAAGAGATCGACTTTTGTTTCGTGAAACGGGCAACACCGATCGGCGGAAGTAGATCATCCTTTCGCGCACGTGGGTGTTTTGACAGTTCCTCCACACAGAGTATGCCGTTCTTGTTAAGCTAGAGTATGCTGTTGAAGGACAGAGGCTGCCGCATTCAAAGAAAGGCATCCTTGTATTGCCTTGTATGGTGGCTTTTGATGTTCTTGGAGGAAGGCAACATAAGACTCAGCAAAGGCGGTTGAAAGGCCGTGGCTCAGAGTTCTTTCCGAACAAGCCTCAATGGATGTTCCCAAACACTTCACCCCTATTTATGGATTCACATGCCTTCTCAAAAGGCAATTGGACCCTCCAAGCCTCCAAGCCTACATAAACAGTCTCCAATCACCTCAGAAGGTATGTGGATCCATAGGCCATGCCGGGCATGTATGCCATATTTGCCGGTATGTGCTTACATTGGGGTAGTGCCAGGAGGGTCAAGCAAGCATACATTCCATACATGGAGTGTCTGGGGTTTATTTGCAGATCACGAGAGTTCACTAGGCACCAAGATCACCAAGTAAACATATATTTACCTGAAGGGTACCTCTTGACCCGTTACTTCATGGAGTAGCCAGCAAAATGAGGTCTCTAACCTGTAGGGATATGTTTGAATCATTGTTGGCATGGTCTCCAAGCACACGTCTGATCCATAGGGGGGTTGAACATGGTTAAACCCACTCAACATGCATCGCTCCAACACCCAACCCGGGCCTCGTCCTGCTCGACCGCTTTCTCCACCAAGTTCTCCCGATACTCATTGACCAGGTCCTCCATACCTGCACGACCATGCCGCGAGCCGCTCGTGAAGACCTACCAGGAGCATCCTGTCTGGGTGTCCGGAGAATCCCTGAATGCCATATAGGGTAGTCCATGCGACAACCATTAGATTGCTCCCTGGTACCAATCCAAACTTGCCCCCTAAAAATCTCCGGATGTCCTTTCCATGTTTCTTTGTAAAAAATGCTTGCCGGAGATCCGTGCGCTTTGTTCACCCCAGCTCCCATTTCGGCCAGCTCCCGCCTCACCGAGTCAACCGTCCACCCCCGGCCTTCGGGGATCTCTTCTTTCACTTCGAAGTTCGCTCCCAACTCCTGTCGTGTGGTCGGCACCGGGATTGGTTGCCCTAGGGCCTAGGGCTCCAGTCGCACCGAACCGTTTCGAAGGTGGGACTGGGGTGGGTGCCAGGTGGGTCCAGTCATACCTTCTGAGGATGTACTTGGAGCCCTAGGGTTATATTAAAAAAGAAAGCAGGTCGACTAGTTGTCCTGCCATGGTGTGAGTTTTTTCACAGTATGCAGTTGATGGGAAGCGTGCCTTCCTGTTTCAAGCAGTTAACACTGCATCCAATGTCCAATGACAGTTTTTGGAACATCTGTTTCTAATATCGGTATCAGTAAAACCCTTCCTGTGCTAGATTGATTGAGGTTCCTGCCCCAGACCACCACAAAAAGAGGGACTGGTTCACATGGATGGGTCATTTTCATGGGGTCAATGTAACCCCTCAAAGTCGAAGACTATAAAAAGAATGGTCTGACTAGGGGACCTGATTTCGGGAACTTCCTGAACACTTCAGCCGGTCCAAATATCGTCGAACTGGACTTCGGTTCGGGTAACTATTGAGGGTTTGGCTTCGGTTCCGGTCCTCTTCCCGAGAGACATCTCGGGGGAGCAGACATAGGCGGTACGTGGCATTTCTGAGGAACCCAAGCGTCTCTCACAAAATGACTTAGGGGAGATCTGGTGGGTGTTTTTTTCCACTTTAATGATCATTTGGAGTGCCTGTCTGGTGATTCTGACGATCGGTCTGGCTATATATTTGGTGTGGCGACAGCTCATCAGTTCCAAGCAACTTCGCCGGTCCAAATGATGGACTTCATCTCCACCAGATCGTAGACACCTCGGTGTTTGAGAATTATGATTTAAACAAACACCGATCCTGCACAAAGAACACGAATTCGGCCGTGACTTGCTGAGGGCGAGCTGCCGAGGATCCCCCCAAATCGTTGGGATGATTCAGCAAGGCTGTTGGACCCAGAAAAAGAAAGCTTTTCCAAGTCCAGTTTGCACTTGCCTAGGTCATTCATGCCTTGGACCCATAGGCACCCCTTGTTTCTTAAGGAGCTGTTTGACCGGACCCATCTATCATAGACTGTTGGACCGGACCCATCACCTTCTTCCAAGGCACCCTTAAAGGAAGAAGCCTTGCCGATCGGCAGCTGGATGGGCACCGGGTTCGTGCCCAGCTGGTCGACCATCATCTGCACGTCCTTGCACGGCCGATGGAAGTATAGTGCATATACCTGGACCCTCCTGTCGGGGTGTGCTGGCTGGACTACCCCACACTACCGGCCTAGGCTTCCAGACAGGGCACCCCGACAGGAGGGTCCTGGTAGTTGATTTGATTTGATGTGGTTTGGTCCTAAAAAACATTGGCTTGAGGAACAGAACAAACCAAAGGAATATACATCTTCAACCCAATGCTGCACCCCTCGGCAGCATGGAGAGTTTACGAGTTTCGGGATCTTTTCTGGGAGGTATGGGGCTACATGACTACGTAGGACTACCCGGAGTCTTTGCGGTGAAATGCGGCCACACACCGCCTGCACCTCCGCATTGGGACCATTAGGAGAAGGAAACACCGGGACTTTGTCAAATAGCAATGGCCCAGCAACCTGCAATGGGTTCAAACCAAGTGGTGCACCCCATTCAACCAGATCGTCTACCGGTGAATGACATATTAGGTTTGCCCCACGGTTTTGGCTGAAGAATCTAGTCTGATTGCTTGGGACGACTTTACAAGTCTCAACCTCCCGGTTGTCGAGGAAGTCCGGAGGGGCAAAACAACTTGAACACTCAGCGAAGCGATCCTCCTGGAAGAAGGCTATGCCGTTGGACTGTTGAACCCCCATAGACTTCAAGACGTCTCACTTCAAGGATTCTGGGGTGGACATCTCCTGCTCCAAGAGCAGCATGCCGCCGGGCATGCCCCCAACTGACTGGTCAGATCGGAGTCCTTGAAGAAGTCTGCTCCATCACGATCCATCTTGTTCCTCAATGACTCTGGAAACTGCGGGCCCATGGAAAAATGATGGGACACATTTTTGAGGCTTCAACCTCACTAGTTAACTCAAGATGTGTCAAGTGTTTGGAGCACCAAAGTTCATATGTAGAAAACATCACACGAGGCTACAAAGAACCTTCTTCGACCTTGGTCTTCGGAAGCCTGCGACGAACATGAGCAGAACGAAGCATCGTGTTAACATGTAAAACGTTGCGTGTGTTGTATCCATGTAAAACCGTGGGGCATGCAACATCCGTCTCCTGGCTGAACCCTTCGAGGCTGCGGCATCGGGGGCTGCTTGATCAGAACGTGAAGCTCGCTCCAAACACTCCATATATATGGGACTAGAATATATATGCCTACATTGACCCCCAAAACAAAACACTCCATTGCACCAGCACCTTCAAACGGATCACCTGGCTGCAAGACGTCCGGTCACCAGTGAACAAGGGTTTTAATAACCCCAAACACTCATGTATGGAATATAGTATGGAATATATGCCGCCCCATTGACCCCCCCTGACACCACCCCTGGCCTGATCGGCAGTCCTATGGCAGCCCCATGGAGTCTATGGGAATTAGTCTTGGACTTCCAGGGCGCAGGGAAACGACCATGTCATGCCTTATAGTCCCCGTTGGCCAATGGATTTCTAATTGTTTTGGGATGTTTTGAGGTCAGTCAGTTGCCTGTAGGGTAGTGCCAATGTGTTTTCTCTTTTGTTGAGAGGTGGATTCTCAGGCGATATACCTCAGATATTCCACTGGCGCATCCAAGAGATTGAATGATTCCAAGCTTCACGAAGCACATGCGAGGCACTTTGTACCTGGAAATTCACAGAAAATCACACAACCTTCACCCCCCCCCCCCCCCCGCACCCACCAAACCCATCATATAGATTCTCAATTCAAAAAAAAACATAACAATTACCCAAACACTCCATGTATGCCATAATGCCATATATGCCTACATTAGGGTGGTTTGGGGGGTCAATGTAGGCATATATGGCAGTCCCATGGGGTGTCGGGGTTAATGTCACTTCATAACATTCCAACAAAAACATGCATGGTAAAGCGATTTGCTTGCTTGAACCGTTGAACTGATCTCCCACGGGCTCAAACGGTTCAACACAACCAAAAAATCCAAACAGAACAAGTAACAGGCTATGGCTATAATAGCTAAGCTATATAGCCTATAGGTGCGTTATGGTGCGTTCTTCGTGATATTTATTGAATACCAACACCTTCCCTTCCCCAAATACAAAAAAAACGGTTATACAAGTGCGTTCCCTTCGCTCCAGTGTCCAGCTACAAGTCCTCTTCCCACTTCGTACCAGCCGACCGGACGGCACCGGCACCGGCGCACTTGTCCGCCTGGCGCCACACGGTTTCGCTCTGCGGCTCGACGCCAGCCACGCCGTCGAAGACGGCCACGGCGCCGTCGAGGACGCGCAGGGAACGCTCGACCTCCAGGGTGAAGTCCACGTGGCCCGGAGTGTCCACGATGTTGATGCCTAGAGGATGGGAGGGCCAAGTTGTGCAAGGGATGGGATGGGAGCACCCGTATTGTTTTTTTTTTTTGGGGGGGGGGGTTGTATGGCCTCCTGGGATGTAGTTTGTGCGTGTGGTGTTCTTTTTTTCAAATGGCCTTCTTTTAGCGTGGGAGTATGGGATGGAAGGCAAGGGAATATGGGCAAGGGATGGGATGGATTGTTTTTTTTTTGGGGGGTTGTATGGCGATTCTTGAATGTAGGGACTGACTATGGCATGGCATGAGAAAACGTGGAAGAAGAATACTGCGGATGGGACACATACACTGGCCAGAAGAAAGTTGCGCTTGTTGATGTTGAAACTCATGACAACCCTATCCCCCTAGAATCCTACACCATGAGACAAGGGAAGGTGTGGGCGGTCATTTGTCACCCCGGAAAGCCTTTTATTATTACAAATTTAAAAGGGTGTGATAATTGACCGTCCCACACCTGCCACGAAAATTGGACTTGTTAATTCGATCCGCCGCTGACCTCAGTGTTTTGTAAGAAGGCTAACAAGCGTAAACTTTTGTCTGCCTGAAGTATATCATGATACTAATACTCCCATGGCTGGTCGTGCCCGAAAAAGACAGCACCATGCAGTCTTTCGTCACTAGGAGTCACGCCGTCGATTCTAGGAGATCTTTCGGAATCTTTCGAGACATGTTTTGAGGTCACACCTCGATGTGTCCCACGTTTTTGGTAAGGCACACAAACGATGTGGGTGGGGGTTGATATGGGTTGATGGATTCTGCTGCTCCCAGAAGGTTTCCAACATATGAGCGACCTTCAAAATCAATATTCAAAAGTTGGATCTCACCCCAAATGATCATTTAAACAAAACTGAACACTAGGTTGTTTGGGGTGGCTTCTATTGTGCCATCCATTTGAGCTACAAAACCTTATGCACCAGACTCACATCAAAGGCAGGCACTGGAAAGGGGCACTCTCGTGCTCGGATTATTTTATATTTTTTGCTCGGCTCATGTGCTATCTGCTGCGAGTGGGGGACTATGGGCCCCAGGTATATCCCAACCACCCTAAGCCCGTTGTGGATGATGATGGGGCCTGGTTGGTCGTGATTTGCTCGTTTACCAGGGTTTTTCGACAGCTCTACAGGACAATGGGACACACCCTTTATAGATTCAATTGTATGAACCCGATGGCTTCCCCGCCCATGAGGACCAAAGATCCGGCCCTGGCGACCCTGACTGACTGACGAACACCAGGCCACGATGGCCCTCCCAAAAGGCCGTCGTCGCAGCACTGGTGATCGTGATGCCGCGCTCCTGCTCTTGCTCCATCCAATCCATGGTGGCCTCACCGCTGACGGCGGTCGGAAGAAGCCCCAGCACTACCAGGCGACCAGGCACCACAGGAGTCACAAAGCTCGGAGTACAGGGTGCCGGTTCCGAACGGAAGGAGTACAGGTGCCGGCGTCACCCTCCACGACGGCCCCATGGGACGAGCCAAAGCACCTTGTGTGGGGGCAGGAAGACGGGAGCTAGCGGGCTCGCCAAGGCCCGGCGACCGTGGATCAATCACGCGTGCCGGGAAACACCATGTGAACTCTTTTGCGGAACGGCGGTTGATGTGAACCTCTACTTGCAAGGTTCAATGTTTCTGACATGTTTGTCAGGCAAACTTCATGTCCTCCGACCTTTTTCAGTTGTGAACGAAAAAAGCACTGCAGAATCACCTCACGCCGTCACACCTCGGGCCTGGCCCTCAGAATCACATGGTGAATGACGGCAGGAGACCAGTTCGGGGGGCGATCCATCAAGCCGATCCAGCACGCGGCACAAGGAGACCCATCGGTCGGGCCTGGCCCTCATGCACCTCGCCGATCTTCTTCTCACGGCCGGTGTAGTACCTGGCGGTTTGGTGCTTGCGAGACGCACCTCGCCTCTGGCGGTGCAGTACACCCACCCGGATTTAGAGAAGACATGGCTCCATCTTAATGGGGCACAAGGTTGAAGTACTGCTGCAGTTCTGTTTTTCTTTCCAAATTTAGCCATAAATTGGGAAGGGGCAAATAAAAGAACATGCACAGTTTAGTAGTGTATTGTGATGGTGTGATGTTGCGTTCGCAGTCCACCTCAACACGATCACCTGGGACTTCCCCAGAGCCCGGCCCACCCCAAACGGAGAGCCGGGACCACAAGATCCGCTCGGTGGTCGTGGTCTTTCCGGCATCGATGTGGGCCATGATGCCAATGTTGCGGTACTTCTCCCTGGGTTGACCGCGCTTGGACCGCGCTTGGACTGCGCTTGGACTGCGTGCGTTGGTTAAGCGGTTTTTTTACCGTGCCCTGACAAAAAGAGCTGACAGGGGACTCTTAAATCCAGAAGACATGAACTTGGGCGATGAGCCGTATCAATGAACCTGGCAACCTGGGTGCATCAAAAAAAGGGAGACCTCCCAGGCAACGGCCCCCTGGAAGAATGAAATTAGACCAGTCTACCCAGCCAGGGCCAGGATTATTAGACACCCCTTAGGGGCCTAGGTGGTTGAGATTTACATAGACTTATATACCATGGTGCTTGCATAGTTGGCTTAATAAAGCTTTGGGTTCCATCACCTTCTGGTATTTCCATCCATCAACACGGAAGTGGCAGTTGGCCCCAATAGGAAAAATTAGGAAAACCATGGGAAACCGGTTTTCCGCAAACTTTTGATGCCTGGCAAACTCCCAGCATACCCGATCCACACACCCTCTGAGAGGGATGATTGGAGTCACTTTCATGGAAGTTTGGAGGGTCCAAAAAATGTTCTAAGGAGCTTACACCTGGGAAGGGGCCCACATGGAACCTGATGGCATGGACTGGACTGGAAGACGATTTTCCTCTACAACCCACTGGCGCAGGAGCTTACTTGACTTGGAATGTCCAGGATGAGTTTTGGGCGCAGGCCGAGAGTTTGAACCCTAGGGATCCAAGTACCTTCTCAGAAGGCACCTGGACCCTCCAAACCCACCCCAAACACCTTCTGAGAAGGTACTTGGATCCCTAGGGGAAGTAGAACCCTATCCGACATTCAGCTGCATGTGGATCTTCAATCCGAACCGCACAGGATCTGGACAGGCACAGCGGGTTGGTTCCTGCACCGACCACTCGGGTGGTCTGTGCGCAAGAGCATTAGGCGCGAGATGACACAAACACGTATACGGCGCAATACGAACAGGACACATGCCACGTACGAACTAGACTCTCAGGGGCTCAAGCACAATGTGGCTGGGATTCAACAATGGTCTTGACAAAGGTTAACGTGACGCATTCCCTGATGTCGCACCAAGTAGCAAGGGGATGACACCATCCTGCAGCAAAGCTGGTGAAGTGCAGGCTGTGGAGAGAAAGTATATAAGTGGAGAGGTCCAAGCCAACAACATGAAGTCCGTGGCAGTTTGTGCACATCATGCTTTCGACCATCAGCCTATACAATCTATATTTAAAAAATGCACTATATAGTGACAGCATGAAATTATGTAAATCATTATTGTAAATCTAGAATCTAGTCGCTCGACTTGAGCGCCTCCTCAACCTGAAAGATTCATGTGCTAAAAGATAAAAGCCATCCATCGTCTTGGCAAGCCCTCCTCCCTGGAGCAGATCTCAGTTGGTGCATCAAACCCACCAACGAGCAAAAGGGAAAACTGACCACAGCTATCAAAACCTTCTTTACATTGATTCCACGGGCGATCAGTGCAATCGAGACACACAAATCACCCCAAATACAACCCAAAACCCCAAATGCCCTTACACCTTCTGATCAGTTCCTGAAATCTTCACTGATGCTTCTGGATGTCCCTTCCTCCCAAATTCGGCAGTCCCATCGCCTTGCCCGTGGTCTGCTTCAACTGGTCCAAGGTCGATGCCCATCGCTGCACCTTCGCCCGTGGCGCCCGAGTGCGGCGGCGTCCCACGGCGCGCGCGGCCAGTGCGCCGCAGCTGCCAAGCGCTGCGGCAGAGAGGGCCGAAAGGCCCGCAGATTGACCTGGTAGCCGAGACCGTGCGACATGTTCATCAAAAATGGAGATCAAATGGTTTCCCAGTTTCCCACCTCTTTCAACTATAGTTTCTATATTGTACTGACTCGTGAACCGCCCTGCCCGGATGTTTGAACTTCTTCCGCCTGCGGGGTGGTTCGCAGTGGTCACTGTAGAAGGTGCCAGCGCGCTCACAGGATTCGTGGTCCCCACGATCGGGGCAACAAAGGCTGTGGCCATGGCGGGGACGATGCGTCGGTACGCTGCGGCGGTGTCTGACAGGTGCAAAGGCTGCGGGAGAACCCGGCGACTGCCGCGGACCGGGGGCGGGCGCACGGAGTCCAAGGGGAGAGAGAATGGGACGACCCTGGATGACCGGTGCAACACATGGTGCAAGTCACTGGATAAAGTCCGACTTGCCGACTGGCTTCTGGCCACCCCGGCTACCTGGCACACCCTGTGTCTAATCAACGGTGAATATGTTTAATCAACCCGAGATAGAGAAGCAAAACACTAACAATTTGTAGGCTCCTGGCTTCTTGGTATTTTGTTTCCCTAGGGAGATAGAAACATCAAGGGTCTGAGTCCTGGTCGCCGTGGGTCTGAGTCCTGGTCGCCGTGGGTCTTCTTGGATTTCAACGCTCTATTCTTCTTGTGCCATCCAGTAGAACCGTGCATGGATCCACTGCTAGAGAGCACATTTGAAAAGGACTGTGATGCAACGAATCCGCTTGTTGCAACTTGATCACAGGCTAACATGCACCTCTGCAAACAAAAAACATGTCCACCCATAGGATGAACACTGATGCACACTCGCAAGAGTTCCGGTGCATCAAGTAGAACCACTTAATTATTCATCTTATAATTCCAAGAATTCCATTCCTATAGAAGATTCTAGAAGTAACCAGAAAGACCTTGGGCGACGGCAGGATGCATTGCTTATCAACAAACCTGTTTCTGGTGAGATTTGCTCAAGAATTGCAAACATGGAAAACACTGTTTATGATTGAAAGTCATCTTCCAGGGAGTCAAGCCAGCCACTTCTGCCTCTTTTGTTTACTGTAGATGTTGTATGCCTGGGTAAGCCGCGGTGCACCTTCTTCTCGTCCTTTTTGTGATCCTTCTTTTCTTTCTCTTTTTCCTTGGCCTTCAAAACATTGATATCCCATACATCCCACTGGATGCAACATGAAGCAACATGGAGATTCACCACAAAAATCTCGGGAAGAGTCCTTCTCCTTTGCTTTGTCTTTTTCTTTCTCCTTCTCCTTTGCTCTCTCCTTCTCCTTCTCCTTTTCCTTCTCTTTTTCCTTCTCTTTTTCCTTCTCCTCATCACCGGAGAAAAGCGGGTTTCTCCAGATCCCAGGACCAAGAGTCCGATGGGTTGGGAGAGCTCTGAATCACTTCTCCACCAAAAAGAGGTGCACAAAGCTTCACCGTTCGAGCAGTGATGACGTCCAAAAATCCAACCTCTCAGTTACACAGTGTTCAGAGGCGGGAATGCTCAGTGAGTCACAGCAAACGCCATCCGACAGAACCTGCTTGATTGGTTACATTCATTGGTACAGAACCTGCCTGAGCGGATCGCACCGGACTGCACGGATCGGTCTCTCCACGCTGCGGTGTCAAAGGCCCTTCAGAAGTCAGGACACCCTGTCGCCCTGTCGCCCCCAAAACTCACCTCAAACGACACGGTAGGGTGAACCGTTCGGTGAACCTCTCTCTTTCCCACCCAGCTAGTTCGGTTGATTTCCTGACCCTGCCAGGGTGAACTGCTTCAGTGGGAGAACGCTTCCAAGCAGTCCTTCTCCTTTTCCTTCTCCTTCTCCTTTTCTTTCTCCTTCTCTTTCTCCTTCTTATCTTTCTTTGTGTCCTTAGCCTCGTGCCAAGAAATGGCGTCATCCCTCGGGATGCTCAGGTATTTGGATCTGTGGATGGTGGAACAATTCATGTACTGCGCTACGCTTACATCATCGTGCTTGTTCATGTTGTTTTCTTTGAACAGGGCGGGTCGGCATCCTCCACCTTCAATGACAAGTCCAAATACCTAACACCCTGGAAGATGCCTTTGGGGACTCCTTCCACTTTCTCCTGTGCAACATAGGGCGTCACCGCTCACTAATCCTATCCCATGTCGATATACTATGACATGCCCCAGCATTGACCATGTCGTCTGCCTCCATAGGCTTTCATACCACATGTTCCAAGCCAATCAAAAACGTGCCTGAGCTCGCACGCCCTTCACTAAAGAGCTACCATGTAACCCGGTAAAGAAGAACCGATTGGTACATGAACATACCTTCGATTGCCCTTCTGGTCGATATATAGTCCCCCCCAAATGAAAAGGAGGATGACCCCATATCAAACACACCACATCCACATCCAAGAGCGCAAGAACAGCATCACCACGTAACCTGAGTTTTTTTCTTCAAACCATCTCAATGTACCTCAACACACCCAAAAGATACTACAGTGGATTGAGAGTAGATGGCACTGTCACCCCAAGATGTCTTTTATCTAGGGTTCCATATGTTCACCACCCAACTTGGGGTGCCAGTGTCATTGGTCCTCTCAACCCACCGTATAGACTATATACCATTCTGTCCGTGGGCCAAACGAAAACCCCTCAGACCTCTGCGCTCCCGACTGCGCTCCCGACTCCACTCCTTGGTCTCCTTGGTCTCCTTGACCTCTTTGGGCTTCACCTCCTTAACGGAAAGAGCGCCAAGCCCAGTTGAAGCAATCAGCGCGCCCGTTCGCGAAGCCAACGAAGCCAAATAAGAATTCCATGGTTGTAACCAGTGAATGTCTGTTGATGATTTGTGTGTGGGTTTTTCACAGCACCACTATAGGAACTTGATAAGGACACCCTAAGGAACTATATTCCAAGAACCACTTGAAACTAAAAAGCAAAAACTGACAACTTGGTCACCTGGTGTAAACCTTAAATGGTGCGGTCATACCCTCCTTAGTCGTGGGTCCAAGATGAAGGTTTACCCACCATAGGTCCTACATGGACATTCCTCAAGACCATGTGCCCAAAGGGATCCTTCTTAGAACCTCCTGCCTTCATGTTCCTTTCGCATCCGCGGAAGTAGGGATGCCTCTGAAAACTTCTAACGAACGAACGCCTGCGCTGAGTCAGTGTGTTTCGGGATCTGATCTCCGCGCCGGAGGGAGGAGATTGAGAAATAAGCCGAAGTGTCCGCCTGTTGAATTGGAGTGGGAACATCAACCCCCAAGGTTTGCAGGTTGTTCACTTTCCCGGGTAGGAGATGTAACATATGGCTGGGACCACCTTGACTGCTCTCTTATGGAGGTCTTATGGCTGGGTCGTCATTCGAGGACGTGGCGGCCTTCTCCTTGGGCTTTTTCACTTCTTTGGTCTTCTCCTCGGGTGCCACATTCTTCTCACCCTGGAGCCAAAGCTGCGCGGGTTTGCGGGCTTTTTTGGTGGATGAAATCGTACGAGGGACCGTAGTATTCAGGATGGGGAGCTATCTTTGGCAATGTTAGTTGGGGCCCATGTCCAGTTTGCACTTGTTCAGGCTAATTTTCTTTCATGGTCTATACTTCTAATGGCTGATACCATTTGAGGAACTCTTGCAAGGGTTATCCAGGCCGTGTAAGCTCCAGCATCCGGGCTCCCCAACAGGAAGACCGTTTTTGTCCCAGTTTCACTCCTTCACTCGGTTTCCCCTCTGACCCGGGTCGTTTTTTTCCCGGTGGCGCTGACCCGGGTCACCGCGTGGCGCCTTCTTCTTGGACTCTTTGACCACCTCTTTGGGCTTCTCCTCGGTCGCCCGGTCAGACGTCAGACGTCGCGCGAGACGTCTCAGGACCGAAGCTCAGGTCCCGGTGATGTGTGAGTTCCACCGCTTGGTGCCAGGGTGCCAGGAGGGCTGCCAGGAGGGTCCCGAAGCTGAGGTTCGGTACGACTGGATGCATCAAGTTTTCACATTGAGGGTCCCTTAGAGTCTTAGATGAGACCAACAAGGCTCTACTTTCTGAAACGAATGTCGGCAAGGGTTGCTGTCATCAAATGAGAATGGCGAGTGAACAAAGCATGGATAACTCCAGCATCTTCCCATTGGAGAAATCTGCTGGTCATTTGGAGGTTGTCCAGGAAGGTCAGGAAGGCAACTCCCAGGAAGGCAAATGTCGGCAGGTCGACTGATCTTTCGTTGGACAGGTGGCCTGAACACCGCTTAAGCATGTCTAGGCTCATTGCATGGGGGTTGAAGACCATGTCTGACTGACGATTATCACCCCATGGGACTGACCTACATGGACCCCTTTCAACCGCCCACCCCTGGCCTGATTGGCAGCCCAGCAGCCAGTCCCAAACAGGTCGTGTCTGAGATGGGTGGGGGACAGCCAATCGCACGCGCCCTAATTAAACCCCAAAACCCCTGAACCACCCACCCCTGGCCCTTTCTCAGCATATGCCGATCCCAAGCAGAACGGCTCGTGTCATGGGACTTCGACCTATCCCAAGATGATCCAACGCTCCAACGCCAGCCTCACCTGCCGGTCGCACCGCCAGCCTCCGGTCTAAGCGCCCGGCTACGGGCTCTGTCGTCTCCACGACTCTCAAGGTCACACGTGCCTGGCGAAGCCGGCCATGCGAAGACCCGACCCAAGCGACCCAAGCAACCAACTGAAGATGCATTTAAGTTATGAGTCTTTACCTAGTACCAACCGTATAAGACCTTTTTTTTGCCAAATTGGGTCTAGGCCACGGTCCCCAGTCAAGACCTTAGAATCTACTAGTAGGTCAATGAACCAGGAGTCACAAGACGGGGTGGGGATGTTCTGGGCACCCCAGCCACCTCCATGGATAGCACCTCTTACCTGGTGACTGGACATTGGGGTCTGTTCCTGTGCCTTTGATGTGAGTGCCAGCTCTCAGAGTGCCCGTTCCTGTCGAAGCCTCATGTCCCAGACGCAACTCATGGGACTGCGATGCCGGCCCATTCACCGGCACCACCCAGCCCAACGGCCGTTTGGTTCTCGGCAGTCCAGAGTCCCATGAGTCGTGTCTGAGATTCAACTGTCTAACGAACAACATTATAGGATCTGCATGTTCCTATGAAAACACGGTTGAAACGGGGTTCTTTTTAGGTGTATGAATGTATAAACCATGTTATGACTATGTTGCTGTGTCTATCTACTGTATATATATATATACATATATCCCAAACACTCCGTGGGACTCACATATGAATCCATACATCGGGGTGGTTGAAGTCTTTTGGGCAAGATGTAGGTCTCCATATGCCAGTCCCAGACAGGTCGTGTCTGGGTCTTAAATCCTATGCAGCTATGCAACTCCCCTCTTTGGATCGAAACCACCACCGCCCCGCCGTCGCCGGTCACCGCCTGTGAGTCGGGGCTCTTCACCTTGGACCGGAGCGGCAAAACGATGACCGAGCCATCGATGAGGGGCGTGTCGGTGTCCTGGCGCGCCACGGAGACGTGGATCGTCTGAGGGGACTAAGGGTCGGATCAACCATCAAGCAGCACAAGCCATTTCAGTAGCTATATATAGCGGGGAACAACCATATATGGTTATGTAGCTATATATATGCTATATCTATATATATAGCATCAAGTCATATATGATGGATTGGTGTGGGGGGGGGGCAAAACATCCAAAGACCAAACAGATCAAAACATCAACCACGGTGTGCATGGAACCAATCTCTCTCGCCATACTTGTCATTAGGGTTCTTCCCTTTTTGACGTCCTCTTTCGTTTCTTTTCGGAGTTCCATGACTCCATGACACATTCCAAACCAACTCCCAAGTTTCCAAGACCATCTCCCATCTGGCCGATCCTTCTTCAACTTTGCGGCCTCTTTGACGGACTTGGGCCTGCAACATTCGTTTGTTGAGCTTTTGTTGCCCTGACACTCCCTGGAATGAGCTTTTGGGCCAACATGGCCAATGGCATGGCATGGCCATTGTCCTCTATAATAGGTGGTAGTTGTCCACTTGCATGATGATTCCGGGAAGTGTAGAAACCAGGGATGAGAGGTGAGGGCGTGGTTGATGTGGACCCCCCTCCAGTCTAGGAAATCTTGAGGGAAACGTGCCATGTACTCTGAAACCACTGTAGAAAAACAAAATTCTAAAACCAGCGAGGTGTCTTGATGGGAGGGAGTGCATGATTAATTATATCGGGCCATAAATGCCATCCCACCTCTGGATTGCAATCTCAATAGACCTGCTATATCAAAATCTGCAGTTGAGGGGCTTGACTCATTCCGTCTGTCATGGTAGAGATATCCTAGCACGGCAATATGTATATATATATAAGAAAAACATAGAAAAACAGCTCCCTCCTGGCAACCACATAGGCTTTCCATGCAAACCCAGTGATACAACGGACCGTTCATGGAGAAGTGGATTCTGTCTGGAACAGTGCCCACCTCATCAGCAAGCGACCCAACATGCGCCGCGTTGCCCTCTCAAGTCCCCACATAACACCCCAACAACTGCTCGTCCGGCGCCCTGCCCAGGTCGCAGCGCGCTCGCTCGTCGCCGGGAAAGGGCACCCCTCGGCCCCACCCCCCGACCGCGCCCGCAAAGGCCAGTGCCATTCGAGGACAGATCTTTGATGCGAAGATGCGCAGCACCTGGGAGCTCCGTCGACACACATCGTGCGCGCCCCAAAGGAGGTCCGAAAGAGGGGTATACCACTAAGTGGGTGTTCCGGAAAGGACCTCCTCGTTGCCCATGACCTCCTGAAGGGAACTGAATGGAAGCAGAACCGGGTGGACAGGGTGGACCACTTAGGATCTCAAAGGTGTGAAAACAAAAAACTGGCGCACTGGGACTATTTCCCAATCCCAAACACTCCATGGGACTGGCATATATGCCGATCAATTGGGGTGGTGTCGGGGGGGTCAATATAGTCAATGGGGCGGCATATATTCCATACATTCTGGGAATGTACCAGGGATGGTGATGGCTTTCTTCTGGGGTCGGCCGGGACTTGGCTTTCAAGCAGGTCGATCACTTCTCCCAGTGGAGGACGGCCCCAGCGAGTTGGATGTCAACACAGCTGCAGACCTTCGAGTTGGAGGACTATGAGTCGATCTCTTTTGGTGAACTCTTGGGATCGGCCCATCCGTGACTTGGAGGCTTTTCTCTCTCCATGGCCCTCTCCAGGAGATTAGCCAAAGTTTTTTGTGTTTTTTGTTTTGTTTTTTGGTTTGGGGGGGAAGAGGGAAAGCTCCTTGCAGTGGTCGCACTTCGTTCCCTCCAACAGCTCCAATCCAGTGGGAGCTCATCCCTTTTGGTCGCCCCTGTCGCCCCAACTAAGTACTGACTATACTGTTCCTTTTGACTAAATATACACTGGGTCAACTACTGGGTTTCGCAAGCTGAGGTCACCGACTCACCTTGCCGCCACTGGGCGGCTTTAAGAGCCTGTCACGGAGCGCACATATGAGAAACAGCTGGCGAAATCGGCTGAGCTTCGGAAACCAATTGAGTCGGGATGACAATCCTCGGGAAAGAAATAGTGCCCAAAAAATAGAAGAGGTGTCCTATCTCTTGGGGATCACTCCAAAATTTGATGGTTGAGCACCAATGAGCAGATTGAGTCGAGGCTAACTGAAACCACCAAGCAGCTTGCTGCGGGTGATTTCCAATGCTGCCACTGCAATATCATGCAACATCCAAACATGATGGAGTGAAGTGGTTAACCTTAGTGACATAGCAAAGGGGGAGGGTATGAATCTGATGCTGCTATTGCAATATCCAACTGGGAGATTCTCACCTTGAACATGAGTGAATGGCTTTGGTGGTAACATGCTGGTCCACCAGGGTGTAGCTCAAGGTGTTCAGGCTAATAAGTTGCGATGAAAGCCTGAGAAATCGCAGATCACAAGTGAAATGATTCACCCTAGGGTCAGAACGGTGTCTTCACATATGTGGGTGAAGTATGGTCAAGATCTGATCTCCGACCCATTCACACCAGTCGAGCTCTCCGACCCATTCCCACCGCCTGAGTTCCACATGCGTGTTGGAGATCCCCGGCAAGTTGACGATTAAGACCTCCAACGGGGCACCGGTCGGACTGTGCCGGTGTGGAGCTTCCTTCCGCCCAGACCGAGAACATCCGATCGCAAGGCAGGGAGTGACCGAAAGGAAGAAGCGCTCGGAGGTTCGATTCATGCGAAGGAACCTAAGAATAACACCAGTCTGCTCATCAAAGAACAGGCTTTTCGCACCGCACCTCCGTTCCTAGGATGCAGGGTGATTTGATGTCGGTCTTCTTGTCCACCCCTGTATGTATACCTGAAACCCAAAAATGACCCAAAAATAACCCCTGTTTTGAGCTCATTGAGGTTCTAGGTTGCCATGCCAGTCCCGTGTTGGGGACTCTTTCCGCATCCTGGCCGCCCCTGGCCGTCGCTGGACGACATCGATGCGGTGCCGACGGCTCGACTGAGCTCCAGACACTCTTCGGGCCCCGCCTGAGCGGAAAACATCACCAACACACCTCTTCCAAAGCCCATGCGAATGGCCATTTGACCCAAGGTGGCTGGAAAATCTGTTCAATGTGGTTGGATGCCTCACTATTGAACAACTTGTGCACACTTTTTGGCACATATAGCAGTCAGTTGGCTGCACACGGGGGCACCGTGCTTGGAAACCGACCCCATGGGCGTTTGGACTCGATCCCATGGCCCCCGGGAGCCTGTGCCGCAACTCCTGGCCGTTTCTCGGCCATGACAGCCCCATATGGAATGTCGGGGGTACAGAAATGCTCGCCAAAAAACAAAGAAGAACGGATGGGAGTTTCAGCTTCGAGACATTTTTGACACAAAGCTGCTACACTCTGTGGAGCTATATTAGCTCAAAGGAACCAGAACTCACGAATACCGCATCCTTGGATGATCGTCTGACCGTCACCGTCTGGAGAGGGACGTCAAGCTTCCTTCCATTCGTTCCTTCCAGTCTTCCTTCGACAAGAATCACATACCAAGGCGGTGTCTTATAAATATAGCTCCAAACAGAGTAAACCCCTTGATCCACTATAGTCACTATAAAAACTCATATACCCTTAAGATGGGAGCATACCTTTGAGAAGGTAGTAGGAAGTGCAGCCAGCCCTTTGATATAAGAGGTATCCATTCACCACTGGCTCCGGGGGCCTTGGTATAACCATCTCCGGGGGCACACGACCTGTCTGGGACTGGGTGGTTGAAGTCGGGGTCGTAGGTCGCCAGTCCACCGGTCGTGTCTGTGGACCCGCCGCACGGGGATCAAAGCGTCCCGGCCCCAGAGTGGCGGCCGGACCACCCGCGGTCAGCTGAAGACCTGGGAGGCTCGGCCCGGTCTTCAGCTCGGAAACGGTCCACGAGAGCCACGAAACGGTTGGAGATGAACAGGACCATTTGAGGGGCGTGGTTCATTCTTTGAAGATCCCAAATTCATGATAAAAGCATGCAAAAGCATGATCAATTCGATGGGTTCTTGGAAATTTAGCCGTTTGGTTGCCCAGTGGCTTCACATGGCTTCACTGGAAAGCAAGTACTTTGACAAATATCAAGTGGCAGCACGATAAAAACAACGTTAACAAAAATAACATGTGCCAGAAGTTTACCCATGCGTCATTTCCTGGTTGATGATGGTGCAAGAGTGTTGGACTTGGTGTGGGCATCGACCTAAACAAGTGGCGGGGTCGATGCCCGGCAGTCGCATGGCTTCCACATCCTACCACCTCCCTCAAGTGTAGAAAACGCCAACGCTTCCTGAAATAAAACCACCATATCTTTTATTGGTGTTAACCGTCAAATACTCCGTCAAATGCTATTCTATTTTCATTCTTTGGTGCTATAGACCATTGACTGCCGAGATGAAAGTAAAAAGAATGAAAATAGAATCACCAATTAAAGACTAATTAAATAATATAGCTTCTTAATTTAATGTTATAGCGGTTAACCGGACCAATCATCCATGAAATTTATCATTCTTTATGTTATTGCCTGTAGAAATTTCATGGATGAACCCAGCCATCGCCGTCAATGGGCGAACATAAACATGCTGGTGGATATAGCTTTTATTATGCGGCCTAGCAATAGTAAAAATCATGAATAACAATGCTAGGTCATATATATTTTCATTATTTTCTATTCACATCTTATCCTAGTTTCCATATCTCTTAGACTTTTGGCACTTGAGCCGGGAGTTGTGACGGGGGCTGCATCTGGCAGTCTTAAACAAGTTGTCTTCCATCATCTTCCCGTGTCTTCCCTCTAAAAAAACGTCGGATGAGAAGACCCTGACTTGGGTGCCGAACTTTTCGGTTCACCATGCCCTGCGCTGGGCTCCAAGACGAGCTTCAGGCTTTCCTGGCCGAAGTGGTCAGTGCAGGAGCCCTGGAGAAGGTTGATTCATTGGATTGGTTTAAGGGAAAATCTACAGGAAAACCGTTCACGTCACGACCCCCCGAAAATGGAGGGGTTTCCTGCTAAGCGTCCTGAAATTCCTGGGATTGATCTTCATCTGATTACATGCTCATGGAGGGCTGGTGTTTGTACCTGCTTCGACACACCCCCGTACTTCTTGAACAAAGCTTGGATGGGAAATGAATGAACATATTATGGAGGAACAACGGAAACACACCCTCAAACTCTGATCCATCTTGTCCCCATCTACCAGGACAGTCACCACCACTTTTGTCAAAAGCCTCCTTTTCGGGGACCTGAAGGTGCTGGGAATGTAGGATCTTCATTCATACGCGCCCCCCACAAAAGCCTCCCCAGGCCTTATTGGTCTTTCAATCCCAATGGGAGAAGCTCAGCATATTCATCCAAATCGGATAGGATATATGGGAGAAGCTAAGCAATGCTAAGCATCATCATCTTGGGATAGGCTCTCCTTCTTCAACCGGAGAGCCCCGCCCTCCGAACCTTCGCTTCGCTATGAACCCCCGGACCAGTACCACCGCCTCCCCGGACTGGGCCATGCCCTGAGAACCAAAGGCACGCGGTCCACGCGGTCGGCCGACCGATTGGGGCCGTGGTGGTCGACCGTGGGGCCGGATTTGGATTGAACCTGCCACGTCGTGCACGTTCTTGGA